CTGGGGGGGTTGAAATATGTGTCAACTTTTGCTGCCTAGAAATAGTGCCTGAGTTATAAAGCAATAATTGAGTGCGTTGTGAAATCTAATTAGCTTGCACTAGAGTTTAACCTGGGTGAGTAATAAACCTGATATTAACTCTGGAGGCTAAATTTTTTTTTTTTTTTTGGAGAAAAAAAAAAATCTGCTCGCTAATTTGTGCAATACGTTATCTCAGATTGCTAACTTTAAGGCTGCATCGGCAACCCAATGTGCTGGAGCCCTAGAAGTTTGGGGATTAAGTTTAAAAATACATATATTTCTTCTGTAACTCATTTGAAAGCTTGGGAAAGTGGCCACGCGATAAACATATGAATGGAAGCAGGACCTGTAAAATAATTACTCATCGGAGTTTTTTAAAGCCTGATATCAGGAAACAGGAAAAAAATGTAGTTTATGTGGGAAAAGAAGGGCTCACAATCCATTCCTTGTTGTGTTAAAGGGGGTCTGGGGAACGAAGTCATTTTCTGGACTTTGTCCAGGTTCTGGGTCGTGACCTAAACTTCCTTTTATATATTATTGCTTTACACATAAAAAACTTCTCCTTTTTTTTTTTTTTTTCCTCTCCCCCCAAATCACTCATGCTAAAGTCCTAAGGTGATCAATGATCAGGGAGCATCTAGCCACAGGGAGACAGGGATCCCGAGTGGGAAGGGGTGTACGTTGGGGTGCTTATTTTATTTTTCTATCGTTTTCTAGGATGCATTTTCCTCTCCCCTCGCTCAAACGCTCAGCGAGGATCCCACACACGCTCACATCCCTCCCCAGCCCCTGGCCAGCTCACACCCACACCGAGGAGTTTATTTCCAATCCTGCCTTTTCTCCCAAATCACTTTTTTTTTTTTTTTTTTTTTTTTTTTTTTTTTTTTTTTTTTTTTTAGCCTTCTGAGAAAACAATCGTCCGATCCTGTCGTAACTGTTTAATTTATTACTATTTTCAAAATGTGAGGCCTGGCGTGTAAATTGCCTCCCAACTAGATAAACGTTTCTTGTTATCTGATTCTGGGGAAGATAGCCGCATGCAACAACAAAAAAAAAATTAGGGTGATGCATGCAGCTCCTGCAGCACCCCAATAACGCTCCCTGATGTAAAGCAGACGCACATAGATGCATATAATGTTTGCTGCAGCCTCTTTTAAGAGCAAAAAAAAAAAAAATCTGGGTTCTAATGACTCGCAGAATATGCATGTGTTAGCCCTGTGCCTAGGAAAGCCACAGGGAGGTCAGGTCACAACCTGTGCTCTTTCAGCACAGACGTCTCTGATTTAAAGGGAACTTATTGTATTTTAGCGTATCAGGAAAAAAAAAAAAAAAAAATGTCCAGCCAAGGGAAAAGGAGGCTCTCAAAAAATAGCATTCCGTAACTAAAGGAAGTGGAGGAGAGCAGCCGAAGAAGAGAGCATAAACTATTTTCTTTCCTGCGAAAGAGAAAAGAAAAGAGGGGGGAAAAGAAACAGCTCAAATGAACAGAGAGATCACAGTTTGCATGGCTGCCTCTGAATAGGCTAAACTGACAAGATCAGTTTTAAAGGGCCACTTAAATCAGTTTCAAAGACTGAAGAAAAACGCGTTGTCTTCTTTGGGGGAGAATCTGTTGCTGGATCCGGGGCGCCATTATCTTTGGCTGGGCCAGTTTTTTATTATTATTATGATTTCTATCACTATTATTCCTTCTCATCACATGGTTAGGCTCTCCCCAATTATTTTCCAAGGGGGGGAGAAATAGTGGCTCCCTTTCCCCCCTTTCGACTCAAGCCTTCCCCGCCCCCCCAGCCTTTCCCCCTAAAAATATAGATATACGAAATTACGCTTGGCCAGCACCTCCTTGTCAACCCCTCAGGTCTGTCGTGCCATTAGAGATCTCGAATCTTGGACATTCTCAATCCTAAAGGAGACCCTCCAGAGGAGAGAGAAAAATACAAACACACACATATACACAGAAAGAGAGAGATTGTCCCTTTTGGTAAAACCTACTTAAACTCTGGGGGGTGAGGTGATGGCGCACGATCTCCACGTAATTCTAGCAATAATAAAAAAAAAAAAAATCAAATTAAATTTTTTTTTGAAAAAAAACCAAACCAACCAACAACTTTTTAATCTGATGATTGTTTTCTTTTTTTTCTTTTCTTTCTTTTTTTTTTTTTTTTAATACACTTTCTTCTAGATGCCTGTGGTCTCTCTGATGTAGCCCATGTTGAAAGTTTACAGGAGAAGTCACAGTGTGCTTTGGAAGAGTATGTTAGGAGCCAGTATCCCAACCAGCCAACACGATTCGGGAAGCTATTACTACGTCTCCCCTCCCTTCGCACTGTCTCCTCTTCTGTCATAGAGCAATTGTTTTTCGTCCGTTTGGTAGGTAAAACCCCCATAGAAACCCTAATCAGGGATATGTTACTGTCTGGCAGCAGTTTTAACTGGCCTTATATGTCCATTCAATAAAATATTCGAGAGAGAAAAAAAAAAAAAATTAAAAAAAAAAAAATTTGAGAAGGGAGATGAAAGAGAGTGAAAGGAAAGCAAATGACATCTGGGTTCTGGTTGTTTCTTAAATTTCCTTCTGCTAAGAAAGGATGTAAAAGGATGTTACAAGTTTGCTAAGAGAAGACAGGAAAAAAATTAATGGACTGTGAATTAAAAAAAAAAAAAAAAAAAGAGACTGTCAAATGAACTTTTACAGAATGCATTAAAAACTCCCGTGTCGTTCAGAGAAAAAAAGAAAACAAACTTGCTACTTATCATTTTTTGTAAAAAATAAAAAAGAGAGAAAGAAAAAAGAAAGAAAGAAAAAAGAGAAAGAAGAAGAAAAGAAACGATGGTGGGCTTTTTCTTTTTTTCTTTTTTCTTCTTTTTTTTCTTTTTTGGGGTAAACTTTTTAAAAAATCTCGCTTAAAGTGCATTTAAAGGAAATTTGGAGAAAATTAGCAGAACGGAAGAAAGTAAGTCTTTTTTTTCCAAATTATTAATTGTCCTATGTGTCTATGTACCTATAGCTGTTCTTTTTTGTATTTTTCTGGTTTCAAACCAGTTTATTCTGTGGTTCTATAATAATTTTTGATATAACCTTGGCTTCTTTAAAAAAAAAATAAAAAACTGTGTATCCTTAAAATATATGTTCTGAAAGAATTAAAACTGAGTCCACGAAAGTATCATAGGAAGAAAGGAAAAGAGAAAAAAAACAAACCCTCAACAACACAATGATGGAAGCGCACTTAAGGTGGTGACCCAAAATCTAGCTTGAAGCTGAGAGAGCTATAATTATATAGACCCGAATGAACCACACGTGTCATATAACTACCCCCAAATCTAGGTTTTTTGATATTTCGGACAGAAAATGAACTGTGGGGATTTATTCTAGGTAGAAGGAATGTGTCCAAGACACACTACGGTTTTGATTTAAAAAAACAAACAAACAAGCAAAGTGAACTTTTGTAATTTGAATTGGGTTCCACATAGTTCATCATGAATTGTTATTAAACTCCTCTATCTGTTTGTATATTTGCAAGCCCTTTGTATTATAATAATTGTTGATATTTTCCCTTTTTAAAAAATACCATTGAAATCAGCATGACAAAATAACACTGTTGGCACTTATAGATAACGTGATTGATTCAGTATCTTAGAGTTTACAGTTTTGTGTTTAAAAAAACTGAAGGTTTTTTTTTTTTTTAAGTGCAACATTTCTGTATACTGTAAAAGTTATAATAACTGAACTGTTTGGTCGAGTCTTTGTGTGTTATATTCCAAGGAAAATTGAAAGTATTCAGAAATTAAAATATTATTTGATATCTGAAACTTGTTTGGCTGTCATAAATGTCTTTCAGAAACCACATTACTTCTCTCTAGTTTGCAGTCATTTAAGTCCATAGGCGATTGATTTGTTTACTTGTCACAGTAAGTTTGTAGCAGATGTATTGTAGTGTATTTACCTGTTTAATTCCGGGATGGGGGTGGAGGACTTAAGTTCGTGGTTTATCTCTGGTTTTAGGAAGTACTATGCTGAAATGGTAAACCATCAACCCCCATTCATCTAATCCTCCTGTTAATTAAAAATGGATTTTCTGGGGAAAAAAAAAAAAAAAAAAAAAAAAAAAAAAGGCCCTTATTTTTGTCACACTTAAGTGCCTGCGTAGGAAAGGTATTGTTGTGAAAAAGTATTAGAAATCTGGAGATCAGTATCTATTTTATGATCAGAATGGGGCGAAAAATCTTTTGTAAATGTCTGACATACGCGCACAAGATCATTCAAGCAAGGTAATAGCAGTATTGTAAATATAGGTCAGTTGTTTGCAATGAGTTTTCTTTTAAGTATGTGTGATTTTTTATAATACTCCGTAGTTGCCATCTATCGTTGTCATTGAGAGGTCTTCAAATGGAGTGGCTTTAGCTTCTAGCACTGAGGAGTCGGTTTTTTAATGTATATATACTCTCAAGTGGAATTTTTTTTTTTTTTTTTTTACCTTAGACTGTGAAAGCATGACCACAGGTCATCTCTATATTTTCCATATGGGCTATGTGTCTGTATGTATACTTGCATACATACATGCGTAGGCGTCCATGCATCTTCCCTGTGTCGCTCCAGGCCCCTCTTCTTGCAGCCCTTGCGCGGGCGCAGCTCCCGCAGATGCGGTGGGGACCTGCCTGGGCGAGTGGCATGGGATCGGACACACCAGTTGGGGAATTTAGCGCAAAGAAACCCAAATCTGAAGGAAGGCAAGATGATGTGGTTTTGCAAGGGGTTGATATTTTGTTTTGTGTGTGTGTGTGTGCGTGTCATTATATTATTTTTAATTTTTTTTTTCCTCCTCTCTCTCTTCCCCCCACCCGCCTTCCCTTGGTCTATAGCAGATGCTTTGTATGTGAAAGCTTGCAATTTTGTTCTTGTCTGAGGCTTCCCCCTCTCCCTTTTTACCACACGTAACTACACCATGTTGTGGTTTCACAAAAAAAAAAAAAAAAAAAAAAAGAGAGGGAGAGAGATCATTCTGTAAAGTCGATTAAACCCTGATCTTTAGTGTGTTCCAGTTAGACACATCTGTACTGGGGGCAGAGGGGCGTATGACTGTGAATTTGAGCAGAGTTTTACATCTGAATCATGGCTCCTTTTCTATAAATATATAAATATATATAAATATATAAATATACTATTATTGCAGGGGATTGCTGACCTCTAGATTTAGCTTTTTCTATTGCAAGTGCTATCCATGTGAGTGTGTGTGTGTGAAGTTTTTATGCTTACTAAGAACACAGGATCTTGACTTGTTTGTTTTGTGTTAGTTTATTGTAAACAACCATTTGTTGTAAATTGTTATTGGCATTAAATTATAATTTATGATTTTCAAATCCAAAACATTCTCTGCTTTTTATGTTTTAAAGCCTGTAAGCTATCTCTGTATTTATAAGTTTCTTGCAGCGAGCTTTGGTTCACAGAGAATAATAGTAAACAGAAAATGCACCAGGGTTAAATAAAAACACACACACACACACACACACGCACGCACACACACACACAAGCCCCATGTATATATGTTTGGAATGCTCAGAGGAGGATTTGTTTAGGGACTTCAGTTAGTTTTAAGTTTATAGCATTTAAAGAAAGTTTTTCTTTTCATGCTGAGTTAGAACAAAAGATCTATCCAAAGATTGAATTGGACAAAAGAGGAGGGTTGGGATCGAGAAGCTTGTTCTATGTGGAATTGAGGAGATCCTTCTTTTTTTTTTTTTTGGAGACCCTTTTTTTTTTTTTTTTTCCTTAAAAAAAAAAAAAAAGCTGCTAAACATGGCGACTCTTTCCCTTTAAGTCTCTATTTTTTTTTTTTCTCTTCTTGCGGTCCTCCCCCCCTTTTCCCAACCTTCCCTTTTATTTTTTATTTTTTTTGTCTTTAATCTGATCTTAGTTCGCTTGATTCCTTCCCCCACCAACCCTGCCACCGGCGGCGGGGAAAGACCCAAAGGGCGACCCGGAACGACAGCGAAAGCTGCGGAACCGCCCGCGGTGCTAAACCCCATCTCGGGAAAGGTCTTCTTCAACTCCCCCCACCACGACCTTCCTCCTCCTCCTCTTCCCTCCTCTCCGCCGCTCTCCCAAACCTTCCCCGACCCCGCCGGGAGAGCGGGGACGCCGAAAGTAGGGGCGGGGGGGGGGGG